TTAGAATTTTATGTTTGGCAAAATTATCCTTCAAAAGTGAAGAAATACTTTCTCAGACAAAAACTGAGAGCATTGGTCACCAGTAGATCTGTCTCGCAAAAAATGTTAGAAAATTTTCAGAGGAGGGTGAGGAAAGTGATTGGAAGGGCTGGAGAAGTTTCCCGAGGGGCGGCGGCAAGAGGCTGCTGTCACTGGATCTTACCCACTTCTTTTGTCACCGCGGGACCGTCGCGAAGTCCATACGCTTCCGCAATACCCGAGCACTCTCACTACCTGCGCAGCCAAGTCGGCGTGCAACGCCCTGTAATTCCGACCGGAACCGCAACAGGAGCCGTGCAGGTTCCGGAGAGGTGGTGCGCCCCACTCCGGACGTAAAGGGAGAGGACCACGGCTCACTCTTGCCTGGGGCTCCGCCCACAGACACATTCTCAGGTGCAAACCCCGCCCAGCCAGGGATCTTTTGAAGGATCGTTTGCACAGAAAGCTGGCTCTGCTGGGATGCTTGGACTTGGGAGAGGCTGTAAAGGTCCCTAATCCAGTTGGGGTTTCAGGGAGGATCGGGAGCTGAGTACTTCAAGAGTTATCTAGGCAAAGGGGACGGGAAGAGCCTTCTGGGCAGAAATTGTACGGAGAAAGGTCTTGAGGTAGAGAAAAAGGAGGCTAGACTTGTAGGCAGAGGCAGATTTATAGTGAAACTAATGAAGCTTAAGATAGGAACCTGTCATTTGCACTACCCCTTTCAAGGCTCGGTACCTAATTTTTGCATTATTTTTCTCAAAGAGAGCCTCCCGAATTGTGTAAAGTTTAGACCCCACAAAACTTGACTCCACATAGGGAGCCAGTGGAAAAGAGGGACATGATCAGATAATTGTTTATAAAAATGATCATCTGATAGCCGATGATCGGAGTAGGTAGGAGAAAGGCGAGGAGATCAGATGAGAGAAGGTAATGGTCTGGATTAGTGTGGTGGCAGTGAAGATGGAGAGGAGAGAATGGATTCCACTTACAGTTAAGAGTAGTGCAGGACTTGACTGATTGGCCCTATCTAAAACAGTATCGTGGGCTTCCCTAGTGGCGCAGTGGTTAAGAGTCTATCTGTTGATGCAGAGGACACGGGTTCATGCACCGGTCCGGTAAGATCCCACATGCCGCGGAGCGGCTGGGCCCGTGGGCGATGGCCGCTGAGCCTTCGCATCCAGAGCCTGTGCTCCGCAACGGGAGAGGCCACAACAGTGAGAGGCCCGCGTGCCGAAAAAATAAATAAATAAATAAAATAGTACCATACTACACTACACCACCAGTTAATAGCTGTCCTTTTGCCCTGTTTTATTCTTTTGACTTACTACCACCTGAAATGTATTTTATTTTCGTTTAGTCTGCTAAATAATTTTCAAAAGGTTGAAAACATATCTCTCATAAAAATATAAAATGAACACATGACAAAGATTTTATTCATCATAATAAACTACTCATCCATTATTATCTTAATGAGGGAAACAGTAAGATGGTAGGTAAGACTTGTTCAAATGAGAATTTGAGTTTCAGAGATTTAGATTATCAGCCAAAGGAATACTGAAATGAATTTGCTAATAGTTGCAAAAATACTAATATCCTATGAAGCAAAAAACTGTAATTCTGGGAGTTATTTCTTCTACCAGATGGAAATGGATTCCATCTCTACTAGACAAAATCCATTTGCATTACTAGGAATAGGAAGTATTTGCATTGTTCTCAGACAAGAATTATTTGCATTGCTATCAGTTTTCTACAAGTTAGCCTCTACCCCTACAAAGTTGTATGATAGCTTAGTCAATATAAAGTCAATCAAAGGTATACCCCAGCACTACAATGAAAGATCACCCAGTAATCCTCTTCTGCCCATTTACAAGTTCTGGACAATTTTTCTGGATGTGTCTACCCTCACTAGAATGTAAGATTTAAAAGAACAAGGATTTTGTTTAATTCATTGTTGAGTTATGAGCACCTAAAACTGTGTATGGTACATAGCTCTCAACAAATATATATTGAATGAGTGAGTGAAAATGAGAAAGTAGGGATATGAGCGTAAACAATTTCTTCAAGAAGTTTATTACAAGGACCTAGCAATTGTTAGGTGGAAGGAGGTATATGTATAGAGAAAGGCCTTTTTAAAAAATGTTCAAAGACATTTAAATCCAGATAAGGATCCAATGAAGAGAGAGTGAATACACCGGAGAGGAGGTTATCTTTTTCAAAGACTTTCACCAAATATGGAGTGTCAGGACCAGAGCCACAGTCTCCCTGGGAAGGGCCCCTTCCCACTCCAAGCCTCTAAAAATTGGGGGAACAAGAGAGAGAGGGTTGGACTAGATCAACTATTCTCAACTGTTTTGGTCTTGGAACTCCTTCACACTCTTAAAAATTATTGAGAATTATTGCGATTTTGTTTGTCTATCAATATTTGCCAGATTAGACATTAAAACTGAGTAACTTTTAAAAATATTTTTTCACTAAAACTAATAAACCCATTACATGTTAACATAAATATCTTTATGGAAAATAATATATTTTCATAAAGAAATTTAGTCAGAAGAGTAACATTGTTTTACAAATCTCTTGCAAATTAATGTCTGGCTTAATAAACCTGGATTCTTTAAAAAAAAAATCTTCAGCAAGAATATGATATAGGTCAGAAACTCAGCTCTAAAGAAGAGTTCTAGAGAAGAAGTAAAAGGAGATAAAATCTTTTATTTTTCTTATTCCTAATTGATCTAACTTATGTTTGTTCAAAATAAATAAATGGATAAATAAAATGAATGACAGCAATGTTATAAGGGAGAAGTAGGAGTTGGAAATACTATATTACAAGGCACTTACAATACTCATGAATTGCTATATTGTTATTTGAAAAAGAGCCTGGGGACTTCCCTGGTGGCACAGTGGTTAAGAATCTGCCTGCCAATGCAGGGGACACGGGTTTGAGCCTTGGTGCAGGAAGATCCCACATGCCACGGATCAACTAAGCCCGTATGCTACAACTACTGAGCCTGCGCTCTAGAGCCTGCAAGCTACAACTACTGAGCCTGTGTGCCACAACTACTGAAGCCCGTGTGCCTACAGACCATGCTCTGCAGCAAGAAAAGCCACCGCAATGAGAAGCCCGCGCACTGCAACAAAGAGTAGCCCCTGCTCGCCTCAACTAGAGAAAACCCACACGCAGCAGCAAAGACCCAACGTAGCCAAAAATAAATAATAAATAAATTCATTTTTTGAAAAAGAAAAGAAAAAGAACTTGATTGCTAGTAACCATAGCAAACCCAAAGGCAAGCACACACAAAGAAAAAACAGTAGTGAAAGTGTAATTGATATACAGGAGAGGGGAAAAAAATGGAGTCATATAAAATGTTCAACTAAAATGAGAAGGAAAAGAGGGAAAGACAAAAAAATTCAAAAAGAGGGTGATGAAAACAAATACAGATCTTAATCCATCTATATCAATCATGTTGAACATCGATTTTCTAAATATACTAATTAATCCAGAAAAATTAACAAAAAGAAGCCACTGCAATAAGCAGCCCGTGCACTGCAACAAAGAGTAGCCCCCACTTGCCGCAACTAAAGAAAGCCTGCGTGCAGCAACGAAGACCCAACGCAGCCAAAAATAAATAAATGAAATAAATAAATTTATTTTAAAAAATAGATAGAATGGCCAAAATCCAAAGCCCTGACAACCCCAAATGCTAGGGAGGATGTGGAGCAGAAGGAACTCTCATTCGTTGCTGGTGGGAATGCAAAAGGGTACAGCCATATTGGAAGATAGTTTGGCAGTTTCTTACAAAACTAAACATACTCTTATGATTCAGAAATCATGTTCCTTGATATTTATCCAAATGAGTTGAAAATGTATGTTCACACAAAAACCTGCACACAAATGTTTATAGCAGCTTTATTCATAATTGCCAAAACTTGGAAGCAACCAAGGTGGCCTTCAATATGTGAATGGATAAATTATGGTACACCCAAACAATGGAGTATTCAGCATTAAAAAAGTGGGCAATCCAGCCATAAAAAAACATGAAAGAATTTTAAATACATTTCCTGTTGTGAAAGAAGTCAATCTGAAAAGGCTACTGTATGATTCCAAATGTATGATATTCTGTAAAGAGGCAAAGCTATGCCGACAGGAGGAAGATCAGTGGTCTGGAGTTGGGGGGAGAGAGTGTTAAATAGGTGGAGCACAGAACATTTTTATAGCACAGTGAAACTATTTTGTATGACACTAAAATGATGAGTATGTCATTATACATTGGTCAAAACCCATAGAGTGTACAACACAAAGAATGAACCCTAATATAAACTATGGGCTTTGGGTGACAATGATGGGTCAATGTAGGTTCAACAACTGTGCCTCTCGGGCGCAGGATGTTAATAGTAGAGGAAATGGGGTGGGGAGGAGGGGTGGTATTTGAGAATTCTGTACTTTCTGCTCAATTTTTATGAAAGCTTAAAACTGCTGAAAAAACAAAAATCTATTAACTAAAATAAAACCAAATTACATTCTATATAGCTAGTACTTGAAGCAGCAGTAACAGTCACTTTTTGGTAAACCTAAGTACAGAATCCAGACATTCCCATCTGTACTTAAGGCATCAGGCAACATTGAGGATGGCGAGGACAGAGCATAGCAATCATTGGGATGCAAGTCGCTTTAACTGTGGGCTCTCCATCATTTATCTCTTTTTTTTTTTCATGATTACTAGTAAGGAGATTGAATCATAATCAAAGACTTCCCAACAAACAAAAGTCCAGGACTAGATGGCTTCACTGGTGTATTCTAACAAACATTTTTTTTATATTGAGGTAAAATTGGTATATAACGTTATGTTACAGGTGTACAACACAGTAATTTGATATTTGTGTACACTACAAAACTGATATACGTCTAGTTACCATCACTACCATACAATTACACCCCTTCACACATTTCATCCACACCCCACCCCTTCCCCTCCACTAACCATTTATTTTGTATTAAGACACGGCCCATCTAAAAGCAATGATGTTGGTATGTCCAAACCAGGTTTCTTCCTCTTCCCCCCCATTGCAATTAATCTTTTCAAAATTTTCTTATTCCTATAAAACAAGTCAGAAAAAAATTTTGGAAAATGGTTAGAATAAGATAGACCATTACATACCAACCCCTTGAAAGTGACCAGTAAAATGAGGAATACCTTTCTGGAGTTTGTGAGTAGTTTGCCCCACGACCCAAGGATGGTGGGTAAAAAGATTTTATGTAGTAAGCAAAGGAACAACATTGTCCACTTAATATCAGGTCTCCTATTCTCTAAACTACAATTGGTTCTACTCCCTTTATCTTTATACTCTCCCTTTCCTCCTCACAGCTTCTCCCCACATCCCCTCTCTGTTCACACATGCTCTTGGTATTCCCATTAAAAAGAAGAAACAGAGGAGGGAAGGAAGGAAGGAAGACACAAACAAGCTCCTTTGATATTACTGCCTCAACTAACTGCTATCTCCTCTAGCTCAGGCAGTACAGATTATCAATATGACCTGTTCCTAGTCTTTCACATGCTCTGCTCCAACTATCACCTGACCCTCTCAACATACTCTCAAAAAGGCCGCCAATGGTGTACCAGATTCACATTCCTAGCAACACTGCATTAACCATAATCTTACACGGCCATCTCACTACCAACTATTTCCTTCTGAAACTCTCGACCCATTGCTTTTTTTCTCATTTATCTCCCAACCTCTAGCTGCACTTTTTCAGTCTTCATTGTTCACCTGCCATCGATAAGCTGATTCTCTTTTAAGGTTCTTCTGCAGTCCCTTTTAATTCTTACATATTCTTATGTTCAATTTGCATGTTAATGACTCCCAAAGATGTTTCTCTCTAACCCATACTTCTCTGCACTAGACCCATGTGAAGCATGTCCCAGGTATCATTCTTTGCCCTTGAACTGAACTTCTGCCTTTCCTCTAATAAGATGGCATTCTGTTCTCTATACTCCTGCAACTCTTACATTTGTCCCATTCCGCTTCAAATTCTTTACCAAGGTCATAAATTACATCTTTCCAGAATTTTTATAGTAATCTCTGACACTCCAATCTAGTCTCTGTCACAAGATTTCAGTCTACTTTCTTAAAGAACAAAAAAACCTCAGGACTTCCCTGGTGGTCCAGTGGTTAAGAATCTGCCTTCCAATGTAGGGGATGTGGGATCGATCCCTGGTCTGGGAACTAAGATCCCACATGCCATGCGATAACGAAGCACACATGCTCTAGAGCCCATGTGCCACAACTACTGAGTCCGGATGCTCTGGAGCCCATGTGCTACAACTACTAAGCCCACACTCCACAGCTAGAAAGAAGCCCACAAGCCTCAACAAAGAGCCCACACACCACAATGAAAGATCCCGCATGCCACAATGAAGAGCCTGTGTGCTGCAGCTAAGACTTGATGCAGCCAAATAAATAAATATTTTAAAAATATATAACTATAAAAAAATAAAAACCTAATTTCCCTTCACACCCATCTTGCATCACCTCCATCCAATTCTATCACCAAAAGCTGAATTTTGTGCTCATGAGTTCCACGTCTATATAAAACCTGAAGCACTGCTTATGTGTATGCACAATGTGTATTTTCTTGAGTGGAGATGTTGTTATCATTATTTTCTCAAAGAAATCTATGTCTCAAAAGTGACTGAGCAATTATGACCCACAGGATAATATGAGACCTTTAATATAGATATAAAACCTTCAATAGTCTGCTCCTTCCCTTCCCAGACTTATTTGTCAATATAAGCTTCAATCATATTGGCCTATTTGCAGTCTAAGCAGGTCATATTCTTCCATGTATTGGTAGGGGCTGTTTCAACTACCAAAATGCCCAAATTTTTACTTTCTAACTGGTAAACTCTTCCTCAGTACATGTAATCCCTTCTGAAGTTTCCCTAAGTCACTGCAATATAGGTACTTTCCAGATAGTTTCATAGCATCTCTTATTCATTTTCATCTCAGCATGCTACATGGGTTTTGTCTTACTAATTTTTGTATCCCCAGCTAAGTATTTGACATATGGTAAGAACTTAATTTTTTCTTTCTTAAAACAGATCTCTCTAAAATTGAGGCAGTTAAGGTCTTAACTTGTCAACTACCTTGTTAAGGTTGCTAAGAAGAAGCCACATTTATCTGAGTTCTAATCCACTGCTAAATTTTTTTTAATTTATTTTTATTTTTGGCTGCATTGGGTTTCCGTTGCCGCGCGTGGGCTTTTCTCTAGTTGTGGCGAGCGGGGGCTCGCGGTACATGGCTTCTCATTGCAGTGGCTTCTCTTGTTGCGGAGCACGGGCTATAGGCTCACGGGCTTCAGTAGTTGTGGCTCATGGGCTTAGTTGCTCCACGGCGTGTGGGATCTTCCCGGACCAGGGCTCGAACCCGTGTCCCCTGCATTGGCAGGTGGATTCCTAACCATTACACCACCAGGGAAGCCCCTGCTAAATTATTTTTGCTTCCTATTTTTGCCTGATCTATACGGCAAATTAAGAAAACAGCATGTTTGCCCTCTGCCTTCTCCTACTAAATTTTTCAGAAACCCATCTAGACATCTATTGTTCTGTATGTCATATTTAGAAAGATACTTAAAGATTACCTCTTAGCACATTCAGGACATAACATATTATCTTCTAGGTCTGGGGATGGGAAAGTGCAGGCAGGTAACATGAAGAGAGATATCATCCTCCTGGGAGTGTTAGGCACCCAGGTCTGACCTGCATGGAACTGCAGGCGAACCCAACCTTCTGTGTCTGCCAAGAGTGGTCTGCCATGGACCACACACCACCGGACACCTAGGCAAGGAAAAAGAAGCAAACATAAACTGCTACGATCAGGTAACAGTACCCCAATCCAATCCCTCAGTGAGTCACTCTTGAATCAACTGAATGAGAAGCATGGAAAATGTAGACCAAAAGACACCGTAATCTAACTTCACAAACTACATAGCACAGGGGACAATAGCAATTAACTTTTGGAAACCTTGCTTTGTGTCCAAGATTTTGCTAAGTGACTTACATGTATTAATACATTTATTCTTAAGAACATTATTAATATTTACCTTCTATTTACTTTTCTTATTTACAGGTGAAGTAAGTGAAACTTAGAGTGTTAAAATATCATAATTTTCCCAGAACCAAAACAAGGATCTAGGTATTCTGATTCACAGCCAATTTGCCTAACCATTACATTGTACTGCCTCAACTATAGAAAACAGGCAAAAGGATCTTTTTTAAAAGTCTAAGGAACAATCTAATTGGAGAGATGGGATATTTGAGAGACAACAGAGTAGTAAGTCCTACAGATATCAAGTGTCTGAAACTGAGAGAAAGGGGCAATCACTGTAGGCTTAAATATCTATAAAATCTCCCCAGTCAGACTGTAAAATAAGAGTAGAGATGACCACGCTCTTGGATTGGAAGAATTAATATTATTTAAATGGCCATAGTACACAAAGCAATCTACAGATTTAATGTGATCCCTATCAAATAACCCATGATTTTTCACAGAACTAAAACAATAATCCTACAGTTTATACTGAACCATAAAAGACCCAGAATTGCCAAAGCAATCCTGAGGAAAAAGAACAAAGTAGGAGGCATAACCCTCCCAGACTTCAGATAACACTACAAATCTGCAGTAATCAAAACAGCATGAAAAAAAAAGACAAAACAGCATGGTATTGGCACAAAAACAGACATATGGATCAATGGAACAGAATAAAGAGCCCAGAAATAAACACACACACTATGCTCAATTAATCTTTGACAAAGAAGGCAAGAATATACAATAGAGAAAAGACATCCTCTTCAGCAAATGGTGTAGGAAAAGTTGGACAGCTGCATGTAAATCAATGAAGTTAGAACACATACTCACACCATATACAAAAACTCAAAATGGCTTAAAGACAAATATAAGACATGATACTATAAGAGAACATAGGCAAAACATTCTCTGACATAAATTGTAGCAGTGTTTTCTTAGGTCAGTCTCCCAAGGCAAAAGAAATAAAAGCAAAAATAAATAAATGGGACCTAATCAAACTTACAAGCTTTTGTACAGCAAAGGAAACCATAAACAAACAAACAAAAAAACTTATGAACTGGGAGAAAATATCTGCAAATGACAAGACTGCCAAAGGCTTAATTTCCGAAATATACAAACAGTTCATAACAAAAAAACAAACAACCCAGTCAAATAATGGGCAGAATACCTAAATAGACATTTCTCCAAAGAAGACGTACAGGTGGCCAACGGGCACATGAAAAGGTGCTCAATACCACTAATTATTAGAGAAATGCAAATCAAAACTACACTGAGGTACCACCTCACACCATACAGAATGGCCATCATTAAAAAGTCTACAAATAACAAATGCTGGAGAGGATGTGGAGAAAAGGGGGAACCCTCCTACACTGTTGGTGGGAATGTAAATTGGTATAACCACTATGGAGAACAGTACAGAGTTCCTTATAAAACTAAAAACAGAGCTGCCATGTGATCCAGCAATCCCACTCCTGGGCATATATCTGGAAAAAAACATGGTTCGAAAGAATACATGCACCCCAGTGTTCATTGCAGAGCTGTTTACAATAGTCAAGACATGGAAGCAACCTAAATGTCCATTGACAGATAAAAAAGATGTGGCACGTATATACAATGGAGTATTGGCCATAAAAAAGAATGAAACAATGCCATTTGCAGCAACATGGATGTACCTAGAGATTATCATACTAAGTCACAAAGAGAAAGATAAATACCATATGATATCACTTATATGTGGAATCTAAAATATGACACAAATGAACTTATCTACAAAACAGAAACAGACACACACACATAGAGAACACAGACTTGTGGTTGCCAAGGGGGAGGAGGTGTGAGAGGGATGGATTGGGAGTTTGGGATTAGCAGATGCAAACTATTATACACAGAATGGATAAAAAACAAGGCCTTACTGTATAGCACATGGAACTATATTCAATATCCTGTGACAAACCATAATGGAATAGAATATGAAAAAGAATGTATACATATATGTAAAACTGAGTCACTTTGCTATACAGTAGGAATTAACACAACATTGTAAATCAACTATACTTCAATAAAATAAATTTTAAAAAATAAATTTTAAAAGAGTAATTTAAAGAGTGTGGCTAGGCACATTCCTGGATCCCGGTAGGTGCTTGGTAACTGCTGAATGAAGAGGAGCTAAAAGGATGAGTAGGGCTTCCCTGGTGGCACAGTGGTTAAGAATCCACCTGCCAATGCAGGGGACACGGGTTCGAGCCCTGGCCTGGGAAGATCCCACATGCCACGGAGCAACTAAGCTCATGCACCACAACTGCTAAGCCTGTGCTCTAGAGCCCAAGAGCCACAACTTCTGAGCCTGTGTGCCACAACTACTGAAGCCCGCACACCTAGAGCCCGTGCTCTGCAGCAGGAGAAGCCACCGCAAGGAGAAGCCTGTGCACTGCCACAAAGAGTAGCCCCGGATCGCAGCAACTAGAGAGCGCCTGCCCGCAGCAACAAAGACCCAATACAGCCAAAAATAAATTAATTAATTAATAATTTAAAAAAAGGATCCAGAACACCTCTGGAAATGGGATGGAGAGAGGAAAAGAATTCAAGCCAAAAAAGAGAATGACTTTGTGCTGGCCTGAGGTAGGGTCTGATGGAAATGAAAACAGAAATATCAAAGAGTGGAACAGGAATTGGAGAAAGATGGGGCTAAGTTATTCTGGAGATTTCTCAAGAGGACAGGGGCCCCAAATATTTTAATTATCATTGCCTACTTTTAGGATACCAAATTGTATTTCATAAGCCTCACAATCATTCTATCAAGTAGAATAGTTGAAATCTTCATTTTATAAATCAGGATACCAGGGTTTATGCTGAGTAACTTGCCAATGTCACATACCTAGGAAGTGGTAAGACGAGGGTTTGAACAATGGTCATTTTAATTAATTCTCCAAATCCAATAGAAAGGGGAAGACCTCAGGCTGTGGCTGACCACATTACCAGATTATGCTTTCTTCCCACCTTGGATCTGTGCTTAACGATGAGAAAGTGTCCCCACTCAGCCACCTGGCTCAGAGAGCCATTCAGGCAAAACTTGGCTATCTATCAATCACAAGATAAGCGCTCTATGAACCTAACATCCCATCTGCAGATATTTTAACTAACGCTTTCCCTTTAACTACCATCAGTATTGGACTAATGAAGTGTGCCTTCCTTCTCTGGCATGGTAACCATTCTTTAAGGTTGATCTTACCGGAAGCTTGCGGCAGAAAGCACTCAACAGAGGTAGGCAGGGGACGTGAATTTACAGCCTTAGGTTGAACAGCTCTTGCAGCAATTCTTGACCATGCTGCCAACATGGCTGCCTGAGCTGAAGTTATCACTTCAACCATGTTAGTCCTTTCCTCATTCTCACTCATCTTCCTTTTCGGAACACTTGCTGTCTTGGTCACCATCTTGTGTTTCCCTGGACATGACTGCAATCTGGCCTCCCGTGATGATTCAGGAATATACTGCAAATGGAATTCATGATGAGTATTCAGTGAAGCGTCACTGACCCAAGGACATTTGGGTTGATTTTATCATTCTTCGTACATTGACCTGTGTATGTCAGTGTGGGAAGGGTTTAGGAATGTTAGTTCCCTCAGAGCAGTGGTTCTTAACTGAGAGAACCCAAGCCTAAAATGCACAGGACAAGCCCCAGGACAAAAAGAAATTAATTGGCCCGAAATGTAAATTGTCTTGGTTGAGAAACCTTACCACCATATAGAGATGGTGGAGAGGAGGAAAAATTCACAATCAGAACTTACATCACGACACTCCTCACTCACCTGATCTTTTTCAGGATAAGCATGTTTCTGGAGTCTCAGATAAACCTCTATTTTCTAAGGAAATTAAGAAGGGAAATAAAAATTAAAACCTGCAGACTTCCCTGGTGGCACAGGGGTTAAGAATCTGCCTGCCAGTGCAGGGGACATGGGTTCGATCCCTGGTCCAGGAAGGTCCCACATGCCGTGAAGCAACTAAGCCCCTGCACCACAACTACTGAGCCTACGCTCTAGAGCCCCAGGCCCACAACTACTGAAGCCCACATGCCACAACTACTGAAGCCTGCACACCTAGAGCCCATGCTCCACAACAAGAGAAGCCACCGTAATGAGAAGTCCATGCACCACAATGAAGACCCAAAAATAAATAAATAAATTTAAAATTAATTAATTTAAAAAATTAAAAGCTGGCAGAGCTTCCATACTTGTTGCAAGCAGCAGAGATTCCTACCAGTGCACTCACCTGACCATCGGTACTCAAATTAAGTTGTTGGCACCATTTCCGCAAAGTGTCCCGACTCACGTTGTTAATTGGAGGCAATATGGTTGGCAAGGGATAAATTGGTTTACTACAACTAGATTTTGGGCAAGCTTTGAACTGTTCATCTGTTTGAGGAGGATGAACTGAGAAAAGAAGAGAACCAAAGTAGTAATAATGTAATATTTGTAAATTCTTTAAAATTTTACAAAGTTCTCACTTATTTCTCATAACCCAATTTGTACATATACATATCAACTATTTTTCCCCATCTTACAAATAAGGTAATAGATTCAGGAGTTAAAGGACTTCCCCAAGATCACACCAACATTAAAATGGCAGACCTGGGACTCAAATACACATTTTGAAATTCTAAATTCCACTTTTTTTACACTACCTATAGCAACCTGCTTTTTGCAGCCATAAACAACCACCTGGATAGAACATTATATTGGATTGCTCCTCCAAAATGTGTAGATGTTGGACCACAAAATATCTGTCCCTACAGAAATAATTAAAACCACCCCATCCAACAATGGTTCTCCATTCTGTCAACCTGCCTCATTTTTCTCTACAGAGAAAATGTACCTTGTCTCACATCACTTTGCTTAACTTATCACTGTCTACTTTATCTGGAAGCCCTTGTTATTTGCCCCCAAAATAAAATCATTCTGAAAATACTTATTCAATGCCTTCGTATGAAGCCCTGATACAAAGGGTCATGATATTAAGAGCCGCTAGATATTTGATCAGTAATTGCTCACCAAGCAAAAGACTAGATGCTTTTCAAAATGATTTAGTCTCCCAAATACCATCTGATCTTATATGTGGAATCTAAAAAGGCTGAACTCAGGAACGGAGAGTAGATTGGTGGTTGCCAAGAATTGGGATTAGGGGAAATGGGAAGATGTTGATCAAAGGGTACAAATTTTCAGTTATGAGTTAAGTTCTAGGGATCTAATGTATAGCATGATGACTACAGTTAATAGTATAATGTATGCTTAAAAATTGAGAAGACAGTAAATCTTAAAATGTTCTCACCACAGTGGGGGAAAAGTTAACTATGTGAGGTGATGGATGTGTTAATTAACCTTATTTTAGTAATCATTTTGCAATATATATGTACATCAATCATCACCCTGTACACCTTAAAATTACACCATGTTTTATGTGTCAGTTATATCTCAAAAAAGCTCGAAATAAAAGAAAAAGAAAAAAGCTCGGAATGATTTGGTTTTCATAAAAGTATGTAAAAATGGAAAGAAGATTGAGCTTCATGGGTTGGGAATTTGAGCTCACATCTAGCTGCCCCATGAGGTCATGCTCTGTTCAAAGCACTCCACATGCCTAGTTTTTTTGGGTTGTTTTGTTTTGTTTTGTTTTGTTTTTTGCAGTACGCTGGCCTCTCACTGTTGTGGCCTCTCCCGTTGCGGACCACAGGCTCCGGACGCGCAGGCTCAGTGGCCATGGCTCACGGGCCCAGCCGCTCCGTGGCATGTGGGATCTTCTCAGACCGGGGCACGAACCTGTGTCCCCTGAATCAGCAGGCGGACTCTCAATCACTGCGCCACCAGGGAAGCCCACATGCCTAGTTTTTGTGTCTTTGTAAAAGCAAGACAGTAATGGTGCTTAGCAAATGAGCAGTATGAGAGTTTGAGAAATCTCCTACCACAGATAATCAAGGTGAGATTTAAGCTGGATGTTGCATAGTTAAAGGACAGGGGAAGAAGAATCTTACTTTTCCTGGGCTTCCAGAGCTGGAGGAGCAGCAAACTGAGCTCACCCTGTTGTTCTCATACCTTGATCATCTGGACTCAGTGACTCCACTTTGACTTCTGAAGTTGAAGAAACACTTGGTTCCGTTTGATGGTCTTCAACAATTTCCTCATTAACTGGAATCAATGTAAGAACCATATTTTCTTCACCTAAGACCTCTTCAAAGAAATTCTGGAAAAGCAAAGCTCAATCACTGATTCTCATTTAATGCTGTACAACTAAAATGTTTACTTTCATGGCACAACTAATGAAGAAGAGAAGCCAATAGCTGGATGGAAAGACTGAGATTCCCTGAATTTGATATTGATTCATAGGCCCTTTATTAGATGAGAAAAACAATGAGGAAATGGGCAAAAGCAGATTTACATGTGGACGATAAGAGGAAATTAAAGCATAGATCTTGGGTTTGGGGAAACCATTTCCTTCATGGCCTTCCTCTCCATCAGTTAAAACACCAAATACTTTCATTTTATCTCCTAAATCTGGGTAGAAGGTATTTCTGCCTTTTCATCTTCTGTTGTGTGATTCACGTTATCATCACTGGCAGGATCAGAAATCTCCTGTGATTCCAATCCATTCTGGCTCCTTTCTGCAGACTGCTCTCCTGCTTGTTTAAAATACTTCAGATAAAGACAAAACTCCCTGGTGCAGCCTGTAAGTTCTTGAACAGCCGGGCCCCTGCCTGCCTTTCCAGCTTAAGAGCCCTGAGCTTTCTGAGCTTCAGCCATACCAACCTTGTTTCAGCCCCACAACCTGAGTGAGGGGAGCAAATGTATCTGTCTTACTCTCCATTGCTATCGCAGGGCTTACACAGTACCCAGCACAGAGTGGACACTCAGTGTTCTTTTAACAATTTCATGAATGAAAGATAAAGTGGATAGGTAGGAAGGAACTGATATTTACTGGTTTTGTACAGTCCACATGCACTGTGACAGGAGCTTTTTGTATTTCTCATTTAAACCTATAACATACTTGTAGTAATTTATTAGTTTTCATATTTTAGAAATTAGGCAACTGAGGCTCAGAAATTAAATGACCAATAACATAGAGTCACATATGCTTAAGTTTCTAGCTTTTCCTCTCCAATCCAAGGGTGAATAAACTCCATTCCAGCTCAATTGTAATATTCTCTTCTCTGAACAGCTAACTGTATCCGATGCGGCCAGGCCTGTCCCCGTCCCCCGCCA